TGTAATCTCCTATTTAAGGAGCCACAAATTGAAATAAAGCATTCAGTTTCCACAGTCAAGAAAGAGAGTGAGGAGATTCGGGTGATCTCTTGGACAAATCACCCCAAGGGAGAGTTCGGGTGGTCTCTTGGACAAATCACCCATTCAGTTTCCACAATAGGGTCTGCACGCAAGGGAAGGCGCAAGGGGAGCAGGGCTTTCGCACCATGGACCGACCCGTGACGGGATCCTACGCGCGGGCCCATAACAATTGGTATCAGAGCCAAATGTCACGGGCGATATGGAGCAACTATCAGTCAAGGTCAACGAACTGGAACATAGGCTAGCAAAAACCAGCATGGAGGTTCGTGAAGTCAGGGAAGACGTCTGGAAGATGCGACGCCTGCTGGAAGCATTCCTCTCCAATAAAGAAATGAGTTCTGAGGGAATCGCCAACACCAACAGACGTCGTCCGGACGGGGCAGAGGCATCCAGCGAACAACAGACCACTACCCCTACAGCTGTAGTTATTTCCAAGGATCAGCGCACAGAGGATGAAACGGTAAAGTCTCCTCCTTTGGCCGGGGACAATGTCACGTACATTATAGTAGAACCTTCAGAATGCGCTCCAAGAGTTATGGTTGCGGCACCACAGTATGGTAACTATGCAGAAATCCAAGAAACAGGAGTGCACAAGAGATGTAAGGTGGAGGGGTAGGATATAGAGGTAACTTTCTCTCAAGCTTATACTGATGGCATGGATTTTGTGTTCATAGACAACCCTATATTTTGCAATATTGAGGAAAATATATATGGGGGAGGCCGAGAGGATATTTTAAAACGCATGGGTCTCTTCGGTAAGGCTGCTCTTGAGGTTCCTTTCTGTAAGGATACCCGGTGCATTTCGGTGATCCACAACATAGCACATCGGGGCCGTGGTCTAGTACGCGATTTTTGTTATGTGGATCTTCCACAAAACTACTTCAAACTATATGACCCAGGAGGTGGGGAACACTTCAATGTCCTTGCGGCTGGCCTGAGTGCAGCAGATCGTGTAGTCACTATAAGCCTTGGTTACGCCTGGGAGTTGGAAACTAAAGAAGGGGGTTGGGGTCTGCATCAAATAATCCAGCTTTATGCACTGAGCTATGGGGCAGTCCCTATTGTTCATGCTGTTGGGGGACTGAGAGATAGTGTGCAGCCATTTGATCCATTGGCAGAGTTCCAAGTCCCGTATTCGGAATTCGAGCTTGAGGGCAAGCTTGTTGTCCAGGAGGGGTGTAATGTTATGGTCAGACCAACCGGCAGCGCACTGCAACGCAGTCATAGGCACCAGCATGCACAGCTGGCAGCACAGCAGCAGGCACCGCCTGGCAGCGCCGCACGGCAACACGCAACACGCACCGCCCGGTAGCGCCACACGGCAGCACGCACTGCCCGACAGCGCGCAGCACGCACCGCCTGGCAGCACGCAGCACGCACCGCACGGCAGCAACACTAGGCAGCAACACGCACCGTGAGGCGCGTGCTCCAGCCGGTAGCAGCAGTAGGGCGGGGCCCACATGACAGCTCATCGGGCCGGGCCCACACTTATCTCACCACATCAGTTCTGCCTGCCAACTCACCGCCAGCTTACCTTATCCCTTATCCCTTATCTTCTCTTATCCTTATCTTATTTTATCTTCTTAAGTAAAAGTTATGAGTTTAAGTTTAAGTAGGAAATTAGGAGTTTTAGTTTGAGTTGGATTACCCTAGCCTAGGCGAATCCAACAAGGAATTTTCTTCTGTAATCTCCTATTTAAGGAGCCACAAATTGAAATAAAGCATTCAGTTTTCGCAGTCAAGAAAGAGAGTGAGGAGAGTTCGGGTGATCTCTTGGACAAATCACCCCAAGGGAGAGTTTGGGTGGTCTCTTGGACAAATCACCCATTCAGTTTCCGCAATAGGGTCTGCACGCAAGGGAAGGTGCAAGGGGAGCAGGGCTTTCGCATCGTGGACCGACCCGTGATGGGATCCTACGCGCGGGCCCATAATACAGTTATGGGAAAAGGAAGGGTGACAATCCAAACCAAGGGGAATTCTACTCAAACAATCTCCAATGTGCTCTTCGTTCCAAACTTGAAGACCAATCTGCTTAGTGTGGGTCAGCTGCAAGAAATGTGATACGAGGTTTCGATCAAAGATGGAGTTTGTCGAATTCAAGATGCAAAGTTAGGCTTAATTGCTCAAGTTAACATGACAGTGAATCGTATGTTTCCGTTTTATCTCCACAACATCACTCATTCATGCTTCTCAGCCAAATTGAAGGATGCAGCATGGCTATGGCATTTTCGCTATGGTCACCTAAACTTTGGTGGACTGAAGGCTCTTACAATAGAAAAATATGGTGACTGGTCTTCCTCATATTACAGCTCCATTTGAAGTTTGTGAAGAATGTGTTGTTAGCAAACAGTACCGTAATCAATTTCCGAAAGGAAAATCATGGGGAGCGAAAAAGGCGTTGGAGCTGGTTCATTCCGATCTTTGCGGGCCAATTGATCCATCTTCCAACGGAGGTAAGAGGTACATAATTACCTTCATTGATGATTATAGTCGAAAAGTATGGGTCTATTTTTTGCAAGAAAAATCTGAAGCTTTTGCAGCATTTAAAAATTATAAAGTGCTTGTTGAGAAAGAAGTTGGCAGCCCAATAAAGGTTCTTCGCACTGATCGTGGTGGAGAATACAACTCACTTGAATTTGCAAAATTTTGTGAGACCCATGGAATCAAGAGGCAACTTACGGCAGCTTACACGCCTCAACAAAATGGAGTTTGTGAGCAGAAAAATCGCACTATTTTGAATATGTGTGAAGTCTGTTGCAGAGGAGCGGCATTCCAAAAACCTTCTGGCCCGAAGCAGTTAACTGGAGCATTCATATTTTGAATAGGTGTCCCACACTTGCTGTTCAAAATATGACTTCAGAGGAAGCATGGAGCGGAAGGAAACCGGGAGTAGATCATTTCAGAATTTTTGGGTGTGTTGGCTATGCTCATATTTCAGACCAAAAGAGAACAAAGCTAGATGACAAGGGAGAAAAATGCATTTTTATTGGTGTTAGTGATCAATCAAAAGCCTATAAGATTTACAATCCTATCACTAAGAAAATTGTTATCAGTCGTGATGTCGTTTTTTATGAAGAAAGATTTTGGCCATGGAACAACAATGTTGTCAAACAGCAAATACCCGTCAACTTTGATGGAGACAACGAAGAGGAGAGGCARCAGCCAATAGAAAATGATCAAAAAATTCCACCAGATGGTCCGACAGATGTTCCAAGCTCGCCAACAGCAATAGAACGACCTCAACATGTTAGAAGAAGGCCTGCATGGATGACTGATTATGAGGTAACCGAAATTGACCAATCTGAGGACCCACTTACATATTTTGCTCTATTTTCGGATTGTGATCCTACAGTTATCGAAGAGGCTATCAAAGAATCCAAATGACAGAAGGCAATGGATGAAGAAATTGCAACCATTGAACGGAACAACACTTGGGAGTTGATTGATCTTCCAAGAGGGCACAAGACAATTGGTGTCAAGTGGGTGTACAAGACAAAATTGAAGGATAATGGAGAAGTTGACAAATACWAGGCACGCCTAGTAGCTAAAGGCTATAAGCAAGAACTTGGAGTGGATTATAGAGAAGTCTTTGCTCCTATCGCAAGACATGATACAATCAGATTGGTGATTGCATTGGCAACTCAACATTCATGGCCTATCTTCCAATTGGATGTGAAATCAGTATTCTTGCATGGTGAATTGCAGAAACAGGTATTTATTGATCAACCTCCTGGTTATGTGAAACTTGGAAGTGAAAATATGGCTTATAAACTCAAAAAGGCATTATACGGGCTAAAACAAGCACTACGCGCTTGGTCTAGTCGTATAGACGCTTATTTTTCTAAAGAGGGATTTAAGAAATGTCCATATGAGCACACACTTTTTACAAAGATTGAAGATGGAGGAAAATTGCTCATTGTTTGCTTATATGTTGACGATCTTATTTTCACTAGAAATGATAGTGCCATATTTAAAAGTTTTAAGAAGTCCATGATGATTGAGTTTGATATGTCTGACCTTGGAAAGATGCATATTTTTTGGGTATTGAAGTGGTGCAATCTGCAACTGGAATTTTTATTTCACAAAGGAAGTATGTGCAAGAAATGTTGGATAGGTTTCAAATGAAAAATTGCAATTCTGTTAGCATGCCAACTGAAGTGGGTCTGAAGCTTGTTTGAAATCCTGAAGGAAGGAAGAT